TGGATCGGGTGGCAGACCAAGGCGGGAGCCTTGACGGTCCGATCCCCGGACAAGAAAACTGGTTTTTGGGACATGGAACGTCACCTTGCTGGCGGGGAAGGAGCAGGAGCTTGTGGCAGAGGTTGAGCGGTACGGGCTAGATATAGTCGGACTCACCTTGACACATAGCATTGGCTCTGGAACCCAAGTCCTTGAGAGGGGTTGGTCACTCTCCTTTGCTGGAGTTGCTCCGGGTGAGAGGCGGAGGGCTGGGGTTGGCTTTTTGTTAGCCCCAAGACTTTCTGCCTGTGTGTTGGGGTTTACCCCGGGGGACGAGAGGGTAGCTTCCCTGCGCCTTCGGGTCGGGGAACGGGTCCTGACTGTTGTTTGTGCTTATGGGCCAAATATCAGTTCAGAGTACCCACCCTTTTTGGAGTCCCTGGGACGAGTGCTAGATAGTGCTCCATCAGGGGACTCCATTGTCCTGCTGGGGGACTTCAATGCTCACGTGGGCAATGACAGCTTGACCTGGAGGGGTGTGATTGGGAGGAATGGCCCGCCTGGTCTGAGCTCGAGTGGTGTTTCGTTATTGGACTTCTGTGCAAGCCACAGTTTGGCCATAACGAACACCATGTTCGAACATAAGGATGCCCATCAGTACACTTGGTACCAGGGCAGCCCAGGTCGCAGGTCGATGATAGACTTTGTAGTCGTATCATCTGACCTGCGGCCGTATGTTTTGGACACCCGAGTGAAGAGAGGAGTGGAGTGGAGCTGTCAACTGATCACCACCTGGTGGTGAGTTGGATCAGATGGCAGGGGAAGATGCATCGTAGACCTGGCAGACCCAAACGCATAGTGAGGGTCTGCTGGGAACGTCTGGCAGAAGAACCTGTTAAGACGGTCTTCAACTCCCACCTCCGGCAGAGCTTTGACCGTGTCCCGAGAGCAGTGGGGGACATTGACTCCGAGTGGGCCTTGTTCCACTCTGCGATTGTTGAGGCGGCTGATGCTAGCTATGGTCGCAAGGTGGCCGGTGCCAGGTGTGGTGGCAACCCCCGTACCTGCTGGTGGACACCATAGGTTCGGGGAGCCGTCTGGCTGAAGAAGGAGAACTACAGGGCGTGGCTCGTCTGTGGGTCTCCGGAGGCAGCAGACAAGTACCGCATAGCCAAGCGGGGTGCAGCAGTGGCAGTTGCAGAGGCAAAATCTCGGGCGTGGGAGGAGTTTGGTGAGGCCATGGAGAAAGACTATCGATCGGCTCCAAAGAGGTTCTGGCAAATTGTCCGGCGCTTCAGGAGAGGAAGACAGCAACTCGCTCACACTGTTTACAGTGGGGATGGGGAGCTGCTGACGTCGACTGGGGCTATAGTCGGACGGTGGAAGGAATACTTTGAGGAGCTCCTCAATCTCACCTATGTGGATTCCGAGGTGGAACCAGAGCCGGGAGACCTGGGGATGGACTGTCCAATCTCGGGGGCAGATGTTGCTGAGGTAGTCAAACAACTACACAGTGGCGGAGTCCCGGGGGCGGATGAGGTTCGTCCTGGGTATCTCAAGGCTATGGATGTTGTAGGGCTGTCATGGTTGACATGTCTCTGCAACATTGCGTGGTCATCGGGGGCAGTTCCTGTGGAGTGGCAGACCGGGGTGGTGGTCCCCATCTTTAAGAAGGGTAACCTGAGGGTGTGTTCCAACTATAGGGGGATCACACTCCTCAGCCTCCCTGGAAAGGTCTACTCCAAGGTACTGGAGAGGAGAGTCCGATCGATAGTTGAATCTCAGATTGAGGAGGAGCAATGTGGTTTTCGTCCTGGCCGTGGAACTGTGTACCAGCTCTATACCCTTGCAAGGGTGATGGAGGGGGCATGTGAGTTTGCCCAACCAATCCACATGTGTTTTGTGGATTTAGAGAAGGCTTATGACCGTGTCCCCAGGGGCACCCTGTGGGGGACGCTCCAGGAGTATGGGGTGGGTGGCTTTCTGTTAAGGGACATTCAGTCCCTTTACCAGAGGATTATGAGTTTGGTCCGCATAGCCGGTAGTAAGTCTGACCTGTTCCCGGTGAGGGTTGGACTCCGCCAGGGCTGCCCTTTGTCACCGGTTCTGTTCATTACCTTTATGGACACAATTTCTAGGCGCAGCCGTGGTGTGGAGTGTGTCGAGTTTGGTGGCAGGAGAATCTCGTCTTTGCTTTTTGCGGATGATGTGGTCCTCCTAGCTTCATCCAGCTCTGACCTTCAGCTCTTGCTGGCTAGGTATGCGGCCGAGTGTGAAGCGGCTGGGATGAGGATCAGCACCTCCAAATCTGAGACCATGGTTCTCGACCAGAAAAGGGTGGCTTGCTAACTCCGGGTCGGGGGAGAGGTCCTACCTCAAGTGGAGGAGTTTAAGTATCTTGGGGTCTTGTTCACGAGTGAGGGTAGGAGGGATCGGGAGATCGACAGCCGGATTGGTTCAGCATCTGCAGTGATGCGGACGCTGAGCCGATCTGTCGTGGTGAAGAGGGAGCTGAGCCAGAAAGCCAGGCTCTCGATTTACCGGTCGATCTACGTCCAATCCTCACCTATGGTCATGAGCTTTGGGTAATAACCGAAAGAACGAGATCGCGGTTACAAGCGGCCGAAATGAGTTTCCTCCGTAGGGTGGCCGGGCTCAGCCTTAGAGATAGGGTGAGGAGCTCAGACATTCGGGAGGGACTCGGAGTAGAACCGCTGCTCTTCCGAATCGAAAGGAGCCAGTTGAGGTGGTTTGGGCATCTGGTCAGGATGCCTCCTGGACGGAGGTGTTTCGGGCATGTCCTGCCGGCAGGAGGCCCCCAGGTCGACCCAGGATACATTGGAGTAGCCTGGCAAGCCAGACTAAATAAATGTATTATTTAGTCTGGCCATGCTCCATTGACGGCTCTCGGTTGTGGGGCGGGTTCTACCGTTGTCTTTCAAATGATCTCCGCATTCCACTGGACAATGAATGTGACATACTCTTGTTTCACTCTGTTGCATCATCCCACCCACCAGGCATATAGAGTGCCCTGATTGGCCCACAAAGCGGATAAAGCTCTGTGATTTGTTCACTAAGCAGATAGAGCACTATGACTGGCCCACCATTATGGACCAATCACAGCTCTTTATGTGTTTGAAACCCCTCTAGAGAGCTGTGATTGGCTAGCCAGAGTCCTGGTAGGAGCTGCTGAGGTTCCAATGGAGCATGCCTAGACCAAACTTTGCAAAGCAAGAATTTGGTCTAGTTCACTAGGCTAACATTGGATAGGTTACATCTCCAATCTGGTCCGGGAATGCCTTGGGGTCCTGCCGGAGGAGCTGGTGGAGAAGGCAGGGGAGAGGACCGTCTGGAGCTCCCTAGTTGGGATGCTGCCCCCGCGAACCGCACCCGGATAAGCGGAGGAAGACGACGACGACGGCATATTGTGCATACATGAAATAATTTGCTATCTGTTGGTTCTGATCATATCTTGAAGACAGGGGTTATATTGTTTCTAGTGGTGATCACAAATGAATGCTGATCATTATGACATGCGGGGTTCCCCAGGTTTCAATTCTTGGACCACTTCTCTTCAATCTCTACATCAGGGGTGGGGAACCCTGGTCCATCGAGGGCCACTATCCAGCATATTTTTGTTTCAACCCTGCTTCAACACAACTGATTTCAATCAGTAGGTGATTGACAGGCTTCTGCAGAGCTTGATGAGCTGCTGAACAGGTGAATCAACCACTGAGTCAGAAGTGTCTGAGCAAAACATGCAGGATACCGGCTCTCGAGAACCAGGGTTCCCCACTCCTGCTCTACATGCTCCCCCTGGGTCAGGTCATGTATTATAACAATGTTACCTATTATAGTTATGTGGCAGTGGTCTCCTAAACTCTGAATGGCAGTGTTTGGAGCAAGTTAATGACTGGATGCAATCAAACTTCCTTCAGTTAACCCTCCCACTGTCTTTATGGGTGACCCCACAAGGAAAGTTGACCATTGAGCAGGATTGATGGTTTATCCCTTGGGTCCACGTGGCAGGGGTGAGGAGTGAGCACCACCTCACCCCTGCCACATGGACCTCAATGGATAAACCATCAATCCTGCTCAATGGTCAGCTTTCCTCACGGGGTCACCCATAAAGACAGCGGGAGGGTTAAACAAAGATAACACTGAAGTTTTTGTCTTTGGAAATAAGAAGAATGGGCTGGAGGTTATAAAACTAAAACTCAGGTTAGAAATGTTGTTGTCATACTTGATTCAGACCTGAGCTTCACAGGTCACATGGCTAATACTAAATCAGCATTTTATCATTGTCAAATAGCATGACTCAGAGGTCTCATGTCCAGATATGATCTGGAGAAACTCATTCGTGCATTTATCTCCAGCAGGCTGGGCTATTGCAATGGTCTTTTGACTGGTCTTCCCAAAAAACCTTTGAAGCAACTGCAGCTTATTCAGAATGCTGCTGCTAGACTCTAGCAGCTAGAGTCTTAACAAGAACCAAGAGAACCGAGCAGGTCACTCCTGTTCTTAAATCTCTACACTGTTTACCAGTAAAATACAAAATTGACTTCAATGTGCTTCTACTAGTTTATAAATCACTCAATGGAATGGGGTCAAAACATATGTTGGATCTCCTTCCTGTATATACACACACATCAGGGCTCTGAGATCCTCAGGAAGCAGTCAGCTGTTAGAACCCTAAATGAGAACCAAACTGGGTAAAGCTGCTTTTAGCTAATATGCTACAAACTCAAATGTGCTTCAACTCTAGTTATGTATTCATCAGCCTTTGAATGTATGCCTCTTAGGCTACACCTTCTTCACTGTAACTGCTCAGCCTTTAACTTAGCCTTTTTATCTTATTCTTACATATAATTTTATTTTTGTATTTCAAATTTGATTTTAAAATCTGCTGTTTGATGTCACATTGATTGAAATGTTTTATCTTCTTCTGGAGAGTACATAGAATTGTGTCTGTGTATGAATTGTGCTATATAAATAAAGCTGCCTTGTCTTGCCTTCTGCAGGGTGTGGAGAGACTCCGGGCATATATTCCAGATGCCGTGTGGTACGATTATGAAACGGTAAGAATGTTTCCCAATGTCCACAATTTCGTTTGTCTGGTTATCACAACACAAAACATGAATGCAATTTTAACAACGGCATTTACAACTAAAGGTTGGTTTCAAATGCATTTTGGTATAAGCCAAATCTGGTTTCCCACAACTGTTGGCAACTAGTATGAGATGCAACATTTTAAGAAAAAAAAAAAAAGCAAATTTTTGCTTTGGGTTTGCATTGAGCTCTTGCTCAGGCATTTTGCATATCTTACACCTGTATTGCACTATTTTTACAAATATACAAATGTTTTCGTCTTAATTATGTCTGATCTTTTCGTGATTTTGCCTCTGATATTGTGTGACATTTTTAATTTCCTTTCAGACACTAAGGTTTTCTAGGCTGCCAATTTCTATCAAGGTTGTTTCAAATTTCTCACACTTTAACATCAACTCATGGGAAGTAAATAAAGAAGCATTTGAGATGTTTTCCAGATTGGTCACTCTGATCATTTTTAGGAACATAATGTATTGCAAACTGTTGGAACCTGTTCAATATTCAATCCAGTTGTGTTTATTTATACAGAGACAGTTCACAAGAGTAATCTCAAGGAACTTTACAAAATAAACATTCCAATTGAGTCTACATATCACTGCACTGAATTCAGTTTCAGTCTCTCTTCAATATTGTATAGCGCCTTTCAGAGTCAGAGGGCTCTACAGAACTTTACACTACAGTGTATCATTTGTCCATTCACACACACATTCAGCTAGGGCTGGGCGATATGGCCTAAAATCAATATCACAATATATTGAGGATGTCTCCTCGATAACGATAAGTGAACGATAACTACAGGTATGCGCAGAAACAAAAGTTGTCCACTAGATGGGGATGTCACGTGTATCGCATTGAGTCACATTTTTATGTGACTCAAGGTGGTACAGCTTGCCAACCTACACACATCTTTTCATTTTTTTAGTATCAAATCTATTGATATGGAAAACAAATTTCACGATAAGAGTCAGAAATTTTGATAATTTTCAATTTATTGCCCAGCCCTATGTTCAGCACAACAGCAGAATTCTCTGTCTGAAGCCAGGATCGAACCATCCGATCACTAGACAACCCGCTCAACCTCCTGAGCTACTGTGCTGCCCGTAATAAAATGCAAATGTGCATACAATGATATCCAAGTTGTTATGTTACACTATTCATTAGATCATACAAGTGAACTGGTAACACTTTACAATAAACGTTCCTCTATTAACGTTAATTAGCACATTACTGAGCATTAATAAACAAAGTGTCCCTTTATTAACCTTCCCAATATTGTTATCTATTAGGTGTTCTTAGGGTTAGGATGGACAATGTTTACTTAGTAATGCATTACTTATTAATTTTAACATTACTATTAAATTGTTGTTTATGTTATTTAATAGTTTATTAATGTTTAATAATGCACTAAGTAATGTTTAGGAAGAGACCCTTATTGCAAAGTGTTACCAGTGTACCTAACTGATCATGATCAGTAACGTTAACCAATATTTCTAAGTTCCATTGCAACAAAGAGAATGGTTTTCATGAAAGCCTTCACATCAAGTTCTTTGTTTGAAACCAGAGCGATAAGACGGTAGTGAGAGTTAGGACAAAGAGAGTCTATGTCCCTGACAGAGAGATAAAAAAAGGTGCAGAACTCCTTCGGGGCCTTATTTAGGCGTCGCAGTGGTGATGTAAAGCGCCCACTGATCAGATGAACGATTAGATTGGCTGTCTTGCTGCTGGCCCCTTGTCCTTGTTGGTCCCAAGTGATTATCTGGGTAGGAGGATGGAAGGGTGGGGGGGGTGTTGATACTGATAAAAATGATCATGAAAACAAATTACAAAGAAAGAAAACAAGAAAAAAAACTGATGGGATGGAGTTGGAGCAGAAATAAAGCATAGTACACAGTGTGGAAAGAAAACATGACAAAAGTGAAGATACAGAAGAAGGAGAGGGATGAAAACTGTAAATTATATAGATATGAGAAGAATAGAGTAGAACTAAGGAGAAGAAGACAAGGCAAGACTGAAGAAGACCTCCTTAAGGCAGACAATGAGGGGAAGATAGGATCTGAAATTGCTTATAGACGCTCCACTAACTCCAACCCACACACACGTCCATACTGTAATAAATGATACACACATAACCTCACATACTTCTTATAAACCTGTGGTGGAAATTGGTGAAAATGCAATGAAAAATAAAGTTAGAGCAGCACAGAAGAGAAAATGATAAGGGAACTAGAGGAGGTGGAGAGAAAAAAATGGTCTAAAGATTCAGAAGGGGGGAAAGGAAACAGTGTGACGTGTTTACTTTTTCACATAATTATAAAAAACATCCCAAGTTTAATAAAATCTCTTCAATTGGATCAATCATTTTACGTTATGCTCTAAACAGCTTTAAAAGCCTTCTGAAGCTTTTCATAGTTCCTTTTGTGACAAAAGCCAATGCTCTCGAACAAAGCGTGTGTGTGGACAGCCAGTGTGCAAAAATAGCAGTGAGGAGCCAGGTCTCAACAAAAAACACATAATAACTGTTTTCTAACAATCTATGGTTAGAAACCGAGGTCGCTATGCCTCACGACCAACACTGTTTAGAGTAGGGTAACATTTAGGTACCATGACAGGAAGTATAGTCCATGAATGAAAGTTGATGGCGATGCACCAAATGGATCCTTGTGGTAACTCTAGAAGAGTTAAGACTTTAGCAGTACACACTGCATTATCCCTTAATTATTTGTCATTAAAAACAATAGATATATGAATCAAACACATTTATATAAAATTTGAGAAACAAAAACAATTCAGATATTTCACTGGCAGTGGGGCGGTCAGCAATTATGCAGGAGGCCTTGGCTAACCCTGCCACTCCTTGAGGATGCCACTGTTTCCTCAATCTTGGTTAACTTTAAACCTAACAACACCCTCAAACTGAAATGGGTCCACCCAAAAGACAAAACATCCAAACAGAAGCTTAGTGGTGTTGTTTATGCAGTCCATTGCAGCTAGGACTGCCCAGACCTTTACACTGGGAAAACTGAACAACAAGTGCATGGCTCAACACACGAGAGACACCTCTTCAGGCCAAGACTCTGCAGTCCACTTACACCTGAAGAACAAGGGACACACCTTTGAAGATGATAAAGAGAAGACAGATGGTTGGAGAGGAGTAATGGAAGCCATCTATGCCAAATGAGAAAAATGTGTGTAGTTGGGATTTATATTTTTAAACTCATATGCAAATGTATGTGGTTTTTATTTATTAACCTCCTCCCTAGGTTGCCTGCAGTACACCTGGCACAGGACAACTGACAAAAACTAGCCCATGGCTAATTTTGGCATATTGCAGTATGTCTGCTGTTAACATGCACTGTCCTGAGTAACTAATAAAAATGAAAAAAACAAAAACAAAAAAAGAGGCAGAACCATATGTAGCACTGTTCTTTTTCAGGTTTGCCATCTTCACATCTCACACATGTTTCCAAAGTTGAGTTCCTTATAAGTCTGGTAGACTTTCTGCGGTCATGTTTTTTCATCTCTTTGATTAAGATGATTAAAAAAATGTTTGTTTGAATTAGATTTGGTTTTGTGTCCATCAGTTTTGAATGAATTCTAAAAAGTGAAGAGAGGAGAAAAACTCACAAAATCAAAGGTTTGATGTCTTAAAGTATGCTAATTAATGCTCGTCACCGTAAGATTAGATTATGAAGTAAAGCTCTGCTGCAACGACTCACCCAACATTTTGTTTTCCTTCTCACTATGTCCCCTCTGCCCTAAGTGGTCTTCATATTTTCTATTTAAGTGTGTGAAATTTAATCTTTTGTCTAATCAATTAGATGGAGCGTCTAGCAGTCCGCAAGAACTATGATGAGCTGTATCTACCAGCTGAAAAGCTTGGCTTACATATCAGAGGGGGTGCCATCCTCCCCACACAGAGGCCTGAGGTCACCACCACATACAGGTATTCAAACACACACACACACACACACACACACACACACACACACACACACACACACACACACACACACACACACACACACACACACACACACACACACACACACACACACAACTTGCCATGCTTTGTTTACACACCAGTGCACAAACCAGTGTATTGAGATAAGTGAACCATGGTGTTTCATAAACATTTTGCTGTCTGAATAATAATTCCGCACACCTATCTGTGTGTTTCCAGCCGACGTAACCCCATGGGTTTGATCATTGCTCTAGATGACAACAAGCAGGCAGCCGGGGAACTATTCTGGGATGATGGAGATTCTCGAGGTATTGCTGCTTTTTCCTCAATTTGAGCTTGTATGTTCACGTGTCATGCAGCTTTTTGTTATTTTCACTAATTAAAGGAACTGTCTTTTTTCATCATGTGATAAAAACACTCCTCTATTTGAGCTTAAAGTGTGATTCAGCTCCCACAAGTGGGGGTGGTCACTCATTCGGCTGTGACTAAATGACTCAAACTTTAACATCCCAATCTGTTTGTTTTCCCCCACAGATACAGTTAAAAGTGGCAACTACATCCACTACAGGTTCTCTGTTGTTCATGTAGGTTCCATCACATGCACTCAAACACCAACTCTCCAAATTAAGCTCAGACATTCTCTCTGATCAGTTTCAAGTTCAAAGTTGAAAATTCCTGGGGGCTTTTGGCTTTTCAGTCTAGTTCACCACGCTTGATTGATCCGTGGTGTGCGGCTAAAGCTTTGTTGGATCAAGTAACTGAAGTGAGGATCGCCTCACATGTTTAATGTATGAGAGGAACGCTCTCGGTGTACCATTGCTCTGGTGTTGGAACTTCACATAGGAAATCTGTTGTAACTGCTGTCTGATGCAAATGTTTTGATTGTATTCACTGGTTATTCTGCTGGCATTCTCAGTGTTTGATGTGACTGTTTTAGGACAGAGCTGATGCTTTTGGTTATGTTATTGTCAATGATGAATTTGTAGTTTGTTTAAAGGGGACACTGATTGTTAACAAATGAAGTAAAACATTTAATAATTAACATCTACATGTTGCTGTTTTACACTAAACCTTTAGCTAACAAACACTTAACTTGTATAAATCAGAAGTAGCATATGGGGATTAAACGTTCCCTTATCTAATATCTTGCAGTTTCTATAATGATGAAAGTGGATAAAAAAAAGACAGATAAGAACATTTAGAATGATCAGTGAAACTAAATGGGCTAAAGTATACATTGTATTTTCTACATGTTTTGTTTAACAACTTGTGCTTATCTTTTTTTTTTTTATTCATTAAACGCATCTGTTGTCCATAGGGAGCACTGACCATGCAGGTGACCCATGCTGGCTACAAAGACCCAAACAACCTCAAGTTTGAGGACATCACAGTCCTTGGAGTGTCTGTCCCTCCCACATCTGTCACTGTGACTGATGGAAGCCAATCAAACACAACCACAAACGTAACAGGCGTAACCTATGATGCAGCCAGAGAGGTAAACAGATGTATTCAAATCTGAAATGAAAACAGCAGCCACTCATTTCTTTAGCACACATGAAAAGTGATAATAAAGAGAAATTGAGTGTTTTTGCTTGGATAAATAATCAATATGCTAACAATATTTGCAGGATTTAAGTGTGACCTGTAGTAGGGCACAGTGACAAAAGTTACAATAAAAAAATAAAAACTCATAAAAATGTAATAATTTCAACTGGAAAAATTAAAATAATTGTTTTAGGTTTCTAAAGATCATCCAGCAAGTCATAGATGACTTTTCTGGTGACTTGCATAGCATGCATTACATTATATGTTACATTAGATCTCTCTCACACACACACACACACACACACACACACACACACACACACACACACACACACACACACACACACACACACTCACTCACTCACTCACTCACTCACACACACTCACTCACTCACTCTTTTGGGACCTGTCATTGACTAGCTTACATTTATGCATCTGTGATCACATGTTTTTGAGTGTTTCCAGTTCGTAAAATGTTATTTTGGCTTGCATTTAGCACTCCCTAATGTCCGTTTTAATTAATTGTAAAAATTTAACTGAAACTTTTCTCTTCACTCTCTTCGCCTTATTCTAACAGCTGAAATGCCTCCTCGGCCTTCATTTGGTTCTACAGCAGATGTTTACCACTAAATCAACAAATCAGCTGTGTTCACAATCTAAAACATGCAGCAACCATGTTGCTGAGCTCCCCGAATTCAGAAAACTCCTGAGGATGACTTGATTGATTCCTATTGTGGTTCGATATTGTTTTTTTGTTTTTTTTTTTTAGCTTTGTAACATGTTTCCTTTGTCTTGTCTGAGGCTCCACCATTATAAACATGCTACAATAAATGCTAACCGAGTATAGCTCGTCTGTTCTGAGGTGTAAACGTCAGAACAAGAAAATGAACTCACAAGGCACCCTGCTCACAAGAGGCAAAGGGGGCAAAAAGACATGTCATTCATCCTCTAAAGGGTCGTTTTAGCACCAACTGGCTCAAACTAATTTAATAATATTAAACAGTTGCTTATGCCTTTAAGGTAAAGTCATTTTAGATCATCTGCAACAGTTAGATATGTTGTGGACAGTCTTAGATTTTGTAATTGCTGGTTGTATACAATAGACTTCACTACAAAGTTTAAATATTCTCTTTTTCTCTCAGATGTCCTTTTGCAAGAAATTGTAGAATTCCTGATCACCAGTTTGTGTTCTTATGTCAACTTTTTCTTTTTTTTTTTCTTTTGATCAAAAACTTTTCTGTGAGCATTCTCACCAGCACCAAACAGCAGTTAATGATTAGCTAACAGATACAGCAAAACATTTGGGTGTCATGTTGTGGTGTAGAAATCTAACCCACGACATACAGAATCAGCATAGAGACGGGGGTAAAGTGTTTAAATAAGAATTTATTGAAAGGGAAAACAAGGAAGCAGCATAAACATAGCTGAGTTCGTTCACAAGGGAGCCAGTGCGGGAAATCTGGACGGATGGGAGTTAGATCCAACTCGAGGAGGGAACAAGGAATCTGAATTGTGCGGAGGACTTAGAGTCTGGAGAGGAGGGAACTAGCTCGAGGGAGGAGTGGTCCGGTCTGGGCTGAGAGGGCTTTCCTGGGACTGAGATCCAAAAGGTGAGACGTGGAGGGAGCTGAGTTTGTGGAGATCCAGGGAGCTTAAGTGGGCAGCTGGAGGTGGTTCTGGCCAGGGAGAGCCTGAGAGACAAGCAGGTTGGCGTTCCAGAGGACAGGAGTTCCAGAGTTCAGCCAGTCAGAGATGACGGTGGAGGTTTTATCCAGGTAGAGTAATCATCCAGCGAACTGTAGAAGTCTCTCAGCTGCTTAAATACACCTGGCCGGCTGATGAGCAGATCTGCTGCAGCTTGGTCAACCTTCAGACACACCCACCTGCAGAGGGAAAACTCAGCGACAGTGAGTGACAGCAGGAACACACCTCAGACCGTGACATTGGCAGCTAATGGACTTAGACTTTTCCCCTCAGTGCTCAATGGACACCAGACTTAAGCTCATTATTCAGGCAAGAAAATGACTCCATGTACATTTGCTAACATTGCTTCATTATTAGGATGCTGCTGTCTTCTGTATGTGTGAAATACATGACGAACTGGGTATTTCTCCTCCTTCGTTTGTAAATGCATTACATTTGAACATTTTAAAGTAGGAACAAATATTTTATTTAATAGTCATTGCTGTATATTAGATATGTCTCCAAATATTTGATCGTAAAATTCTTGCTGCACTTTTGTGAAGAAAAGTAGGCTAAAATTCTGCAGCAACCACATATCTGCCATTTGTTTCAATAACAGCATGAATGAAACCATAGCTGTGCATTTCAAGGTTGGCTTCTAAACGTAAGAAATGAAAATGGTTTACATCAGTTGGGGATCATAAAAGTCTTCTGTCAGTGTGTGTGTATGTGTGTGTGTGTGTGTGTGTGTGTGTGTGTGTGTGTGTGTGTGTATGTGTGTGTGCTTGTGTGCGTGTGTGCGTGCATGTGTGTGTGGCACTGGAAACTGAAAGAAAAAATGAAAGCAAATGACTAAAAGCTATGATTCCACAGTAAGCTATCATGGTTATGAGCAAAAAGGCAAGAGTTTATGAAGTGTCAAGAGGCCAAGTGAAGTAGAAGTGTGGAGATTTCCTTTCTCTGTGCTTGTGTATTCATGCATGTGCACACATGCCCATGTGTGTGTGGCTGCAGATGCTCTCGTATAGATCCTCAAGGTCTCTCTGGTCACTCACACAAGCATGCATTTATCAAATGACTCTCTGTGGTAATCATTTCTTAGGGGTGAAGGGTAAATGTGCTGTTAAACAAACTCCGACTTGTCGTGAACATTAGTCTTCGTAAGTCCAGACTGGGCCTTGAAAATAGCTCACAGCTGCCAAAAATCATTAGATACATACGGACTCAAAGAGTGGTGATCCTTACAGGACACAAGGAAAATTCACAAAGTAGCAAGGATTTTTTTTGTTGGCTTATATTATTCTTCATCCTTCTTTACCAGGCATGTTTTGCAGATTTTGACTTTTTTTCAAGTTATTTTTCTTTATAGTAAATTCCCTAAAATTGATGTTTTTTGCACTTGTGAGAAGAAACCAGAGTATGCAAAAATAGTAATAATAATAAATACATCAAATGCATGAAGCCAACACTGCTGCTAGGTGTTAAAGCTGTGACCCTTTTGCTGCAAAACAGCAGTGCTACCACTTGTCCACTGTACAGCATGTTGTACAATTGTTGGCAATGTCTTGTATGCCAGTCTGAGTCAGAGCACAGTTGCAAGGCTCTAACTTGTCCAGAACTTTGCTGCGAGATTTTTAACAGGCACTACACACTGGGAACACATCACTCCAGTGGCTCCCAGTGCAGTGCAGAGCCAGATTTAAGATCCTCCTACTTGTTTACAGGGGTCTTTAAGGCACGGCCCCCTCCTGTCTGTCAGCATTGCTGCAGAAAAATGTTGATCCCATCTTGGTCTTTACTCGGCTGAGCGACAGCTGTTGGTGGCCCCCTGCTCCAAATACAGACCAAGGGGGGGATTGTGTGTTCTCAGTTCTGGCTCCAATGCTCTGGGATGAGATGCTGTTGAGTGTTAGGGCCGGTGTTCCAACTATCCGTGCTACCCATCTATATGTGCCACAGACTGACTACTACGTCACAGGCCGTTCAGCTGAAGAGACGTGCTCCCTCTGAAAAGTTGTTATATTACTGCTTGTTGTATGTTTACTTGACAGTTACCTTGTAAATGGCTTGTAGAATATTGTTACTATACTGTAAATAAGACATTTTCCCCATTTTTTACCGTCATTTATGAAATTATGACAAACACATTTTTTTCATAAATAAATGACGAGAAAAACTGTATATTTTTGCTAATAACTATATTACAGTTCTGTATTTTTATGTGTTATCACCAATTTCAAATAAAATGTGCTTAATAGGCATGTTACTACACTGTAAACAAGAGTGAAACAGTCGTAACATGCTGCAGTAGGATAATTTAACGAGGAAGCACAGATAGTCAGAACACCGGCGCCATAACTTCTGGTTTTTAAGTCTCACATACTCATTTTTGTGAGAACGTTTCAGCAAAAGGGGCATGTAGATGTCACAAAACTGCCTTGATCTTTTAGTTGTTGCTGTTGTTTTGTTTTGTTTTTAATCTCATTTAACCTGTTCTTTTAGGATTGTTTAACCCTTATATAACCCTTTAACTTTCTAACGTTAATGTCCTTTGAGCACAAAAAAATGCACTAGGGTCGTATAAGGGTTAATCGACTTTTCTTTAATGTTTTATGGTTGTTTTCTTTTTTTTCTTTCTTTTAATGATTCACTACATTGTATTTGTTCTTATCCTATGTTTATGAGGTTGTGTTTAGCACCTTGCTGTGCTGATAGGGTCATGGAAGATCCTTTATAAATAAATAAATTAAAAGTTTGTCCCCTATGATGCCGTTGGTGAAGCACTGTTCCGCAATGAAATAAAGTCAAGGATAAGAGTCGGAAAACAAATGTCTATAAAAGTTGAGAATTGTAAACAGACTCAGAAAGACTTATTTAAACAAAAATTTCATCTGAGTTAAACATGCAAAACAATGCCCACATAAAATGTGCCTTGTTTGTGCCTCCTGTTACGTTACTTATTCAGTGAAATATAGTGAAACTTGCCATTTTAAAACTGTGGGAGATATTTTTCCCTAAACTTAATTCTACACACAGGTGCTTCTTCTGCACAACCTGAGCTTGACGCTTGGGAACACCTACGTGGTACAGTGGGACACAGTGTCCGAAGAGTATCAACGTTTTGACTGCTACCCAGAAGGAAATGCAGACGAAGCCAAGTGCAAGGCCAAAGGTTGCATCTGGAAGGTAAAGGGATGCCACATGTTCAAATTTACAGCCTTCCATCTTCTGATGCCTAATTTTCTTTCATATTTTAGCCAAGCACCAATGAGAAGGTTCCGTGGTGCTACTATCCAGATGACTATGGTTACCTTGTAACACATGCCACAGAAACAGACTCTGGCATTACTGTTGACATCACTCGCAACACTAACTACAGATCAAGTGGTCGCCCAGAATCCAAGGATATTACCAACCTCCGTGTTGAAGTTTGGTATCACTCAGGTGACATGCTCCAATTCAAGGTCTGTATTTAACTCTATGTACTTTTGAAATACCATCCTCCTTTAAACCCTACAAAACATGTCAGGTTGATTGCCCCCTTTAAAGACATTAAAACACTTCACCTCTATGTCTAGATCTGGGACCCCAAATCTGACCGCTATGAGGTGCCTGTACCTCTGTCAGTTCCTAAAACTCCTCAAACTGATGAAAACAAACGACTTTATAAGGTTTCTGTTACCAGCCAACCTTTTGGTCTTCAGGTCATACGAAAAAGCACAGGAACCAAGATGTGAGTATGGTGCAAGCAGTTCATGATTGTCTTAGTTGCTGTTCAATGTGAGACTTGACTAATCTCTCAGTTTATACTTTGCTTCATTACTAGCTTTAAGAGGGTATAATTATTTTGGGATTTCTGCCTTTCCAAGTCATTAGTGACCCAAAAATACAATTTATGTGTCTCTGGCTTGTACTAAGCTTTACTCATTAACCATATCAGGCGTGGGGAACCCTGGTCTTTGAGGGCCGGTATCCTGCATGTCTTTGCTCCAACACTTCTGACTCAGTGATTGATTCACCTGTTCAGCAGCTCATCAAGCTCTGCAGAAGCCTGTTAATCACCTACTGATTGAAATCAGGTGTGTTGAAGCAGGGTTGAAACAAAAATATGCTGGATAGCAGCCCTCGATGGGGGCCCCCACCCCGAACCATATTATCATTTAAGATTCATATATCTGTGTTTACCCCCTGTAAATTGGCCTCTTATATTAGTTTTGGGTAATATAAAAATGGTGTTCAGCTATTTTCAGGCTTGAATCTACCCCCCCCCCCCCCAGCCCCCCCCCCCCCCACCACACCCCCCCACCCCCATTCCCCGTGAGATTAAAGTAACAATGCTGAATCGACTCCTCAAGTTTTGTTACCAAATTAGATGTGCTCAGGAAAGTTTGGTGCAGTCAATGCCTAAAGTAGTTTCCTGTTGTTCAGCAGTTATAATGATGTCACGCAAAGTAGCAGAGCATTGGAATCTATTCCGGGCATATCTCAAAGCAAGGGTGTCATTATTTTGTAGCTAGGGTCTCCATTTTTTCCCCTCTTTTTTTTCAAAGTGTCAGCATGTGTTTTAATTATTAAGATGCATGACTTATTACAAAGACTGTAGTTCCTGTGGGGTATTGTTCTTATTCAATATGAGACATTTTGACTAAGTGTCTTTGACAATAATTCCCTCCAACTCTCCTCTTTCTCACTTGTTTAATCCTCTCTCACTTTTCTCAGCTGGGACTCGGCTGTACCAGGTTTTACCTTCTCAGACATGTTCATCCAAGTGTCGACTCGACTGTCATCTCAGTTTGTCTACGGATTTGGAGAAACAGAGCATCCCACATATAAACATGATCTCAACTATCACACCTGGGGTATGTTCTCCAAGGACCAGCCTCCTGGTGTAAGTATCACACCAACTCAGTGTTATTTTCTATATTTTGGGGGTGGGGGGTGGGGGGGGGGGGGTTATGCAAAATATGTTTTAGCTCAGCAAATGATTTCCATATCAGATGTAAAAAATTATGTCCACCATAATTTTTTTCTGTCAGTGCGCCCCAAGGCAGTTGTGTACTGTAGCTCATCACCACCAGCGTGTGAATGTGGGTGTGCAGGTGTGAATGACGGATTGTTTTGTAAAGCACCTTGGGGGGTTGTAGAACCCTAGAAGGTGCTAATAAATACAGGTCATTTACCATTTACTGTTTGAACCAGCTTGACCCAGCTGGGCAAAAGTGACCTTTGGCACAAATCAGAGAACCTTCATCTCACTACATTATCCTCAAGTGGAATTACCAAACTATTGGCTTGGTCCTTCACCGTTCAGAAACTGAATTACAAACACTATTACTAAAACAATGACAAAATAACACATAATTTTAACAACTTGTTAAAAAATGCAGCTTATAAAAAGATTTTTTGCCTGAAAAACCAGCGTGTTTTTCTTTTGTGCCTTCAGCATAGGATGTTGTGAACAGACTGCTGAAAACCCTCTTCATTGAGCTTGTGGCTGTCAACTTTTGTTTACCTAATCAGTGTTTACCGACTCTTCTTGTAAATTAGCTTCAAACCCAAAATACTCCCAAACTGTAGAAGTTGTGTTCTTTTTAGACACCACGTCAGCTGGTGCGCAAGCTGCCATTTTTCTCTCGGCACGTCTCTGTGCGGTCACTTAATGACATCATGTTCATAAACTTTATGGAATGTCTCCAAAAGATTAGCAAAAGATTATAAACTCTTTAAGGAAAACAAAAAAATTTAACGACGCATCCATTTAAACACTAAATTACTTATTTATTTTTTAACCATTGTCTCCTACGTGCACTGTCGTTTTCATGACGATATTGAGACTGACCCCATTGCTACTTTTTAACACCGGCTGTTTACAATAATACTATAATACTGCCCAAGCCTAAAGTATTTACAACAACTTGCACTGAGTCTCTTTGTGGAGGGATTTGGCCCACTCTTTTGGATAGGATTACAAGAAAAAGCCACACTGGAATGTTTTAAGAGCATGAATAACCTGTTTAAGTTCAATGGCAGGTAATTGCCTTCAGGATATTCTGGTAGAGAGCTGAATCCATGGTTCCATCAATTACAGCAATTGGTCCTGATCATGAAGCAGTGAAGTGGCCCCAGACGGTCCTACTACCACCACCACGCATGTTATTATGATGTTCTTTGGCTGAAATGCAACATTATGTTTACACAAGATATAACAAGACACCCACCTTCCAAAAATCTATCTAAATACTCAAAGTATTTTCACAAAAGTCAGGAGGTTTTGGCAAATGTGAGATGGGCATTGGTGCTCTTTTTGTGTCAGCAGAGGTTTTTTTTTTAATCTCCTTGGAACTCTATTAAGGATGCCATTCACCCTGTTTTTATTATAATTAAATCATGAACTCAGACCTCAACTGGAACCAAGTCAGGCTTTAGAAGTATTTTTCTGGGAACTTTGGTATTTTAAAAAAAATGGTGTATGTTTGTTACTTTTTTAGATTGTTTGGCCTACTCTATGCAGTCATAAGTGTTCTGTTAAAATGGTGTCTGTTCTGTAGGTCTGGCAGTAATTAAGAATTGATGTGGCTAGTAAAACTGTACTCAGCTTTCTAAGTAATAACGGTAATTACATTTACTAAACAGAGCTATTATTTTTTCAAACAGGCTGAGTCGTGTAGCTTGATTTCCACTTTACTGAGAGCCAAATCCTTATTTGAAAATACATTGTGTACATACTAATTATCTTTGTGTGATATTGAAATGTATTTGCCAGTCTGAAACACAGTGTGACAAAACAGTGCAAACTAAAGAAATCTGTTTGAGGGAAACAACCTTTTAACAGCCCTTTATCACCATATCCCTTCCATCAAACAACAGCTTCCCCCACAGCTGAAGGTTGCAAGCTCCTTCTCAGCCATTTTTCTCTTACATGTAATATTTTAACACTGTGCTGCATATTTTTGACACTGCACCCTCTGGAGACCGTAGAGGTGACTTGTAAACAACCTTCCCTCGCAGTATGTAAACTTGTCTTTCTCTTAGTCATGTCACTTTGATATGGTTCTGTTGAGATGAGGTGCAGTTTTAAAGTGTCATCATATTTTTCCCAAACGCTGTCAAGGCCATGCAGGATGAGCCCTTCACCTGGATCAGCATTATCAAGCACAATTGCTGAGCTTTCAATACAGCTGTGCAGGGTTCAAACAAAAGTTTACCCCCCCCCCCCCCCCCCCCCCCCCCCCCCCCCCGGTCAGAGAGCAAAGGAGTTTAAAGTATGGAAAAGACTGAAGAAAACCAAACGAGACATTGAGACTATTTAGAGTATTTGATGACATCTAGTAGAATCTGAAAATTGGGGGAAAAATAAGTGGGAAGTCCAAACCAGAGCGCCGTTCCACACTTTTCCAGTTAAAGAGCAGATCAAGGTTCCAATTTCCACTTTTAGTTAAAGAATAAAGTCATGACCTTTTACTTTCTTACACCATGACCGTTGCATCATCTGGCAAGGTTCAATGACACAAAAGGAATGCACACATTATAACAAATCAATACAAAGCAGAAGCAGTCCTCAGATCCACTGAGCTGGGCGTTAACACCTTGTTGAGTAGCAGAAGTGCAAGTGGCTGATAGATTGTGACACACTCGTGAGTTATCTCTGCATGACGATGACATGAGAAAGTGGCAGATTTCTGTTCCTCTGCCTCCTTTCTAACAGTTCCTTTACACCCTCTGTCTTGTTCCATTCTTGTCTAAAACACTCAAGTTTAGTACGCTCTCAGTATTTATAGGAGTAGCAGTCAACATCATTGCTCATTCACGCTCTGTATTACAAGACAGGACATCTGATGCTCAGAACCAACCCTCTAAATGACTGTTTTTTGTCTGCCTGTGTGTGATTGTGTGCTTGCATTTATGAGCATTATTAATGCTATTTATAAAACCAGATAACGTATATAATTTCAGATACAAACTTAACTTTAGGCATACATATTTTAGAACAACAATAAAGTCATTTTGTATTTCTGTTACGGGTGTAAGAGTTTGGAATAAGCTAAGTGAGGATCTAAAGCAAAGTCCCTCATTGCATAAGTTTAAAGAGAAGTATAAAAAAATTATACTAATCAATTACATGGAGGAGGAGGAAAAGTTGTAAGGGTGTTGCATTTGATTGTAATTGTCTATTGTTGGTGAACTGGGAGCTGTGAAGGTTTGCGGCGGGGTGGGGGGTGGGGGGGGGGGTTGAAACATGAGAAAATGTAAATTTGGTTTGTGTGATTGAGGATAAAACATGTTATAGGAAAATGGCAATGACACTCAGTGTAGGGAAAATATATATATTTTTTTGTTTTGTCTTTCTTGAAATTTGATTTGTGGGGGATTATATAAGCTACCAGAGCTTCGTTCCCTTCCCATTGAACATGTTCTACATGTGTATGTGTATTTGTATGTGTGTGTGTGTATATATATATATATATATATATATATATATATATATATATATATATATATATATATATATGTGTGTGTGTGTGTGTGTGTGTATGTATATGTATATATATATGTATGTGTGTATGTGTATATATGCATATACATATGTGTGGGTTTCTTTTTGGATACTTTTTGAATGCTTTGGGTTGTCTATTGATTTGCATGCATGTTCAATAAAGAAAGAAAGAAAGAGAAAGAAAGAAAGAAAGAAAGCTAAATCTATCATGAAACTTTTGGAAAGCAATCACTGGATGAACTTTTTACGCTGATTAACATATGTAGTCAGTTTGTTTCAAGGCTGCCACACATGAACAAACACAAACATGACTATATCAGTGGGTTTTGAGGATATCCGACGAAAGATTGCTGTAGTAGCAGTAGCTAATGACACAGTGGATGGACTGTGTTATAATGGTCACAAACTCATTTTAAACATGTGTATCTTTAATATACAGAGTCACCAAAGCAAAATGACCTTAGAAATCATAACAAACATCACTAATTTATTCAGTTTTACATAAATGTGGCTTAAAAAGCTGTATATTTGTTTCTTAATAACATTCCCAACACATTCTCTGAGTGCTCCACATTGTGCAAGACATTTGCACAAAAACAAACCAGTTACTTCCATTTTTTGTTTTATTTTATTTTTTTCTAAATATCTTCTGAGCCAATGGATGGACTTTAATGGTAGTCTTCAATTGTTTTACATCTACAATGTATTAACTTTTTGAGGTTCTCAAAACATTAAATGGCTGAATTGCAGTCAAATTAACGTATTTTGGGCAACAATTTGATGTGTTAGCAGCAGGCCTTCCCCAACAGAGGTATGGAGTGCTATAATAGTCTGCAATGTCATGCACTTTATTCATAACATCTACATGTCCACAGTTTCTCTACTTGAGCAGATCTGGGTTTAAAACTAGTGTAAAAGGAGGCATACTTGTGGATTTAACAGAACATCTAAATGTTTGTGTGGAAACAAAGTGTTGGGAATGTCATTCATTTACAACTTCCCTGAACACAGATTAAAATACAAATTCAACAATGTCACATGTTTCTCTTTCTATTTTTCTTTTCATGTTGCCTCAGTATAAGATGAACTGCTACGGAGTTCACCCCTTCTATATGGGCCTGGAGAACACCGCTGATGCTCACGGGGTGCTGTTACTAAACAGTAATGCAATGGGTGAGAGAAACGCCTGCTTACACGTGCACATACAACATATAAATCCTGGTCAGTACACACAATGTTAAGTTGCGTATTTAGTGTTTAATAAGTAAAAAGAAAAGCCACCATGTGTGTTTAGTATATTCAAATGAAAGGCTTTTATGTATCCCAAGAAACACAACATTACTGTAGAAGTAAACACAATAAGAATGCATATTTGTTGCTTAAATAATAAAATACTTTTATTTAGTGTAGATAAGATTCTTCTGGAATAAAATGATTGAATGTGCTGCAGTTTACTTTATCTATAAGCCTTAAAATGTTTTGATGTTGACAGAGTACCTGCAGCAAGTTTAGGAAAAAAGATAATAGTTGTAGTCCAGCTTTTCTGGCAGTCTATTGATAGTAGTATTGAAACTAATAGTACACTCCTATTATAACTCCATGCTTTTCTAACACTTTATATTGCATAACCCCCCCCCCCCCCCCCCCCAAAAAAAAAAAAAAACTCCTGAATTCTCTTTGCTCTGTGCTCAGATGTGACTTTTCAGCCTACTCCTTCTTTAACCTACCGCACCATTGGAGGCATCCTGGATTTCTACATGGTCCTGGGACCCACGCCTGAGATTGTTGTGCAAGAGTACACTGCAGTACGTTTACTGAGGGTTTTGGTTTTCTCCCTGTTTGTGGGTTAGGTTAGGGTTAGTGTGTGTGTGTGTGTGTGTGTGTGTGTGTGTGTGTGTGTGTGTGTGTGCATGCATGAGAGATCGAGAGTTTTTTATGTCTGGCCCTGGGCTTGAGCAGCTGGGACCTCCTTGCTTCATTGCATTCTTTCATTTAGCCAATCCCAACACACACACACACACAGAACAACAGACAAACAAACATACAAAAAAAAAACACTTTCTGGACAGGGTTCCATGATTATCTAAATTATTTATTTATGTTTTTTGCAAAACAACAAATTTTTTATGGTGAAATGTGTTTTTCTTAACAGCTGATTGGACGACCTGTTCTACCTGCCTATTGGTCCCTTGGGTTCCAGCTCTGTCGCTATGGTTATGCCAATGACTCTGAAATACAAAGCCTGTACACAGACATGAGGGCAGCTGGTATACCCTATGTAAGTTTCCAAAACTTTAAAACGGCATCAAGTCGAGACCACAAAACCCAATTTTTTGGGTATCATGATAATTTACATATTTTAAATAATAATCACTATGATCATTGTCAAACTAATATCTAAAGTTATATCAAGTGCAAAACACCACATTGACAATGAAGCAACATGTTAGGAAATACCACCAATACCTCATACAAACATCTGCTCTAATTTTAAACCCAGAATGTGTGTTCCCACGCTTGCTGAGACACCAATTTCATTCAGATTGTACCTCAGCCCAAGGATTCGTGTCACTGTGCTTGTCTGAACAAATCTTTTCTGAAAGCTTCTTCCTGGCAACCGAAGGCTGTTAAGACATGCTATCATTGGAACAGAGCTAAATCCAACATGCAACTCAGCCGGATTTGACAATGTAATTACTGAAGATGCAGTATACCTACATTAGATGTGATGATTTGACCTTATCGGTAATTGTTTGGATGAAGATAAATAGACTCGTTGAATTATGATTTCAAGGGAAATCCAAAGCTACATTTTCTTCCTTTAATTTAGATCTCTCTCTTGGAATGAAATTAACTTCTGGCCATCTGTGTTTAGAACAAAGTTTGTAACAAAACTTGTGATATTTAAATATGATGACATATGTATCAAGGAAGACTTATCCAACCAGCTAATTCTGCAGAAACTCAACAACCAAGCTGAGCAGATGAAGTGTTGTCCTCATTGGAATGACACAGACATGAATAATAACATCGGCAACATATTATTTTGTACATTCATTCCATGTTTATCTTTGCTATCTGTTTTCTTGTTCTTTTTTTACCTGACATGTTTTAGCTAATATCTCTAGCCATCATCAGAGAAACCATGTCTTACTAAACTGTGTAAAAAAAAGAACAAGAAAATGAATATGCAACATATTGTAGGAAAACGGATAATTCTATATTCTATTGTGGCACAAAACCCATTACTCATTAGCAGAGTGTTCTGCAAACATTTCACTTAAGTTGGCATTTAATTGTCTTAACTAGTCCTAACCAACCTCTGCTGCAGGATGTGCAATATGCAGACATTGACTACATGGAGCGTCAGCTTGACTTTGTCCTGGACTCAGATTTCAAAGGACTGCCTGCCCTTGTTGACTCAATGAGGAAAGAGGGCATGAGGTTCATCTTCATTCTGGTAATGTTTTTAAAGTGTATTAATATTTGGTACTATTATTCACAGTCAATTGCAATCATGTATGTGTATATCTAACAGTGTCAAACGTATGCTGGCAAAATGCCCTAACTAAAACTTACCTCCAAAAATATTGTGTCACAAGACAGCAAAGCTGAAGGATGATTGGCAGATTTAAATCATTTTGCCATCCCATTCACTTTTTCTGTACTTGCAAGGCCTGCATCTGAAGGAAGTGACATTGAAATATATTGGATGAATTAAAGACTTAGCACACATACAATTTGTCTATTGGTGGCTGTCATTCCAGGACCCAGCTATTTCAGGCAATGAGACCAATTATCCAGCCTTTGAGAGAGGAAAAGCAGCTGATGTCTTCATCAAATGGCCCAGCAACCTCAGTAATGACATTGTGTGGGGAAAGGTATGAAATAATTGAGAGTAAATTAAAGTCTAAATAAGTCCTAAGATGTGATAATGAAAAGCTATTCAGTGAGAAAAGGTGATGATATTTTACACAGTTATGAATCTAGACCTTCTGGTCCATAGGTCTGGCCTGATTTCCCTAATGTCACCGTGAATGACAGCCTTGACTGGGATACCCAAGTAGAGGTACATTTACTTATTCCCCTTGTGATGGCACTAAATAATAAGAAAATGTTAAGCTTTTATTAACTAGGCATACAACAGTCGGCCACATCATTCTAACACCTAGTTAAAGTTTTTGGGACAGCAGTAGCTCAGGAGGTAGAGCGGGTTGACCAGTAATTGGAAGGTTGCAGGTTCAATCTTGGCACTGACCAGAGAATGCTGCTGTTGTGTCCTTGGGGAAGTCACTCAACCTGCCTTTGTTGTGGCCATAAAGGTCAAGAGGTCATCTTTAAGAATGGTACGGAACTGAACTGTGGATGCTTTGCAAGAAAGCCTGTTCATCTCATGATGACGTTCGGGTGCTGTTTTTCCAAGAACTGTTTATCAAAGCTAGAGCAGTAGATTTTGGGAGCAGGTTGGGAAAGTAATATGAAGTCAGGTCAAGCTAATTCACGGTTCAGCTTCTCAAAACATCTTTTGACAGAACTCATTATTTCTTAAGCTACAACTGCCAAGTTAATGTGGACTTTGGGAAGTCTCATCTGTTATATTATGAAGGGATCCAACTTTGTGCCGAGGACTTGGCCAGCTTTAACTCTTGTGTAAGGCCGGCTACGCCTCGTGGACATAACAGAACTGCAAAAAAAAGCAACATCCCACTTCAAGTCAGGGGCTTTCGTTGATGGCTGTCTGTACGTGTTGATGCTGACAATTTGATTGTTTGTAATAAAGGCCCAAGCATTGTTTTATAAGACATCTGGCTCCGACTCTACCTTTTTTTTAAAACCATCTTATCCTCTACACCTTGTCTGCTGGTGGTGGTCGGAGGGACTAGAGATACCAGTGTTCGGCTGACCTCGCCTCTGCGAGTGTGCCCCAGGGCAGCTGTGGTTAAATTGTAGCTCATCCCCACCAGTGTGTGAATGGGTAAATGAGTGATTGTGTTGTGAAGCGACTTGGGCGGTTGTAGAACCCCAAGAAGACATTATACAAATACAGGTCATTTACCATTTAACGTTCGTTAAAGGCCCATTATTTGTCACACTGTTTTGTGAAGTTTGTTCTCCACATTTGATCCATCCCATGGGGAAGTTGTGAGCTGCAGATATGGCCACTCTCGGAAAGTATTGGGTGATTCAAACCCCCAGTCAAACCCCGTAATGCTGAGTGTCAAGTGGGGAGGCATCAGGTCCCATTTTAAAGTCTTTGGTATGAGCCAACCGTGGATTTGGACCCACGATATCCCAGTCTCAGGGTGGACACTCATACCACTAGGCCACTGAGCTGGTTTAGCTAAGATGTAAAGAAGGCATCACTGCTGATTTGATTAGTTGTAGAACCCTACAAGGTGTCAAATCAAATACAAGCCATTTTATTTCTATGTTATGTTAAGTTAGGAAAGCATCCATGAGGCTGAAATGCACATCACTAGTGTGTAAGTACCAAGTGTTTTCCTTGGCCCAAGCAACTTTGGCCATTACTGGAATGTCTATTTAATACTACACTGGTGTTTATAAAAATATGACTGTTTTGTTCATAGTATTGCATTATTTTTGCATTTGATATCCTGATCTTTGGAGTGTCCTAATTTCCAGCTGTTCAGGTCATATGCTGCATTCCCAGACTTCTTCCGCACTCAGACTGCAACATGGTGGCTCCAAGAAATTAAGGATTTTTACACAAAGACAACAAAGTTTGATGGCATTTGGATTGTAAGTTTTAATAAATAAGAAATTAAAACAAAATGCCTTCTTATTTATAACCTGTACTCTCTTTATCAAAAGGACATGAATGAACCAGCCAGTTTTGTCCATGGCACAGTTGGAGGGAAGTGTCTTGGGGATCCCCTCCTTGAGAACCCACCTTATATGCCACGTAAGGATCGTAAAAAGCTGTTGTTGGTTTCTTAATTAGAAATAGATAATATTCTTGAAAATGCTGCTTGTGTTTGTTTGTGCACCCTACAGCTCTGGAATCCAAACATCTTGGATTAAACCATAAAACTCTTTGCATGAACAGTGAACAGATACTTAGCAACGGGAAGAAAGTCAGGCATTATGATGTCCACAACCTTTATGGGTGGTCCCATGCCAAACCAACACATGAGTGAGTAAAAAGAAATGTATGTTTGTGACATGTTTGTGAGTACATCCCTGAAAGGAAAACAGAAAAATATGCATTCAGACAAGAGATTTTTTTTTATTTTTACGAGTCTATACAAAGATTTTTTTTTCTCGCCTAGCTTCACAAATGTGAAGGGTAAAAAGCAACCTTAAAATAATTGCAGATTTTTTTTACTGACATAAAAATGCTTTAATAATGTGTAGAACATAAAGGAACACTAGGTATTTTATATGTAGCAGATACAGGTACTTAAGTCTCCTCAACAGTGTCAGACTACCCCATTGACTGACACTGATAGAAGTGAGTATGTTAGGTTGTTCGTTGTCCAGTAGCATGCAGAGACAGTTTGAAAGACAACCGTTGATTCTGCCTTATGACTAAGATCCATTTCTGGGTCGTGACCAGATGATGAGGACTTGCCAAGGCTACATAAACACAATAAAAAATATAATAGCAAATACTCGACGTGGACCAGAGTCATGACAACAATGGTGGCAGGATATACCCAGAAAAGCACTACATCCCATGGTGGAGAATTGCTTTTGAACACTCCGCAG